AATCTATATACATTTGGCGTGTAACACTATACACGCATTGAGTTCTTTTCAGTTGACGTACACGTCAGTTGAATCCAGATATAGCCCCAGAATGTTGTAGCAGTACTGGTATTGTTTCTAAAATGCAATAAAGGACATATTTCAAGACATGCATCAATTAAACAGTGAACATGTTTTTGGAAAAAAATCATTTCAGTATGTCTATTAAATGAAAAAGAATGAGATTATCACAGCATTTATACTTACGTCATCATAATGATCATCAGACGTTATATGGTTATTGAAAGAATCATTATTATAAAAGTTCAGACAAATCCTAGGTGTGTGATACAGATAACATGTTTGCATTATTNCATATTTCAAGACATGCATCAATCAAACAGTGAACATGTTTTTGGACAAAAATAATTTCAGTATGTCTATTAAATAAAAAAAAGAATGAAATTATCACAGCATTTATACTTACGTCATCATAATGATCATCAGACGTTATATGGTTATTGANACATTCTTGCATTATTTACAAAACTTACAACATTTTCTAGCGCCTCTGGTCGCCGCTTTTTCAACCGCCTTGCTGTTTGGAATATGTCCACCTCCTCGTCCATCTTCATTTGATCTCTGATATTGGATATACAACAGAACAGTCCACTTTGTGTACATCCGTCCCTGCAGAAGACAAATAATCTCATCATATAAGGCTAACAAGAATACTCAACTCGCAACAAAGTTGGTGTCACTATTCTTCTGAGTTAATATGAAGATCAATGAGTGAAAAGATATTCCGTTAAGATTTATACGTCAAACCATTTGTATTTTGTTTATCGAAAATGTAATGCATTACAATGTAATTACATTGGATATTTTACACATGTATACTTATCTGATAACATATATGTCATTAATTATATGTAATATTTGAAATAATTCACTCTATGATTTTAGCTTATCAATTGAGCAAACTATTGATGATTTAATTATAGAACTACTTTATAAACTTATTCTTCGTAAGAAATGGCATAACACTGACGGTTTCATTAACCCATTCTGGTATAGGACAGCGTCCTACTAACCGACACATGACAACAACAGGTCTGGTGTTGTCTGACCGTCGCCGACTGTCTAGCTGTTCCAAAAGGTGGAGAAGAGACGAGTCAGATGGAGGCAGTAAAGAGTCCGATGACCACTGGGACAGGCTGAACATCCTGATAGGTTCACTCTCACTGCCGGTTCGCTGTGTAGTAGATAACACCAAATAATGATGTGTTCAAGAAACAAAAAGTTTAAAATAGATTGTAAATTATAATCTGCTTCAATTGAAAATAATAACATGTATACGTCTTTTTAACGATTTATCTACATAATGTATGATTTAGTGATAAAGCAGTTTATTCTTCGCTTTTACTTCAGAATATATATATTTATACTCAAATATTAAGGAATCGAATTATCATCATAAAGTGAAAATATCCTTTTACTGGTTGACAGTTTCTACAATTCTCAAAAGCTTGGCAATTATTACTTTTCATTTGTTAGGGTAGTTGTCTGACCTCCTAGCGGCCTTCAACGTAGCTGATTATTTGATATATTACTAGTCAACGAGACATACACGGTCACTAAGATATAGCTGTTATTCGGTATATTGTCTAATGATACGCCAATAATCAGTCTCATAGATAATATCAGCAGGCATGGTATGAATTTCAGTCCTCTTAATTCACATTGTCGATAGACAACATGATTGTATTCGATATATTTACTATATAAGTATAAAACTTAGCATTTGAATTGAAAGAAATCCTTATTAATACTCGGATCGCATTTTTAGTCATTCATTGAAAATACTCTTGTCTGATGTTTTGTCTTTCAAAGCAAAGCAGCTGGGGTATTTCTTAGATAGGTTTGTAGGATATTCTAATATTTTTTTGTATATTATTCACACATATTTTCATGTACACTTTTCGCTTCTATAATATCAGAGTGTTTCATATAACGATAACTGTAGCTATGTATCAAAATTAGATCTGTATTAGTAGATAGCAGACATACCACTCGTACAAAAGAGCTTGGTACACAATTAGAATATCAAGAACTAGCCATATCAGACACATCATTATAATAGTATATACAAACGTTCCTATTAGGCGTTTAGAAGTGGGATCACACTTCCTTAAAAATCAAATAATATCATAAAGTAACTCATCGCCGACGTGATAATTAGTATATTAACTTTTGCTATTTGATAAGCTCTAAGTACAATCCTTTTAAAAGAACAACGTATCTCTAAAAAAAATCGAATTTATGTTTCTGCATACATGTATTTCAAATATAACTAGTTCATATTAGCGGTTATCCTCACATAAATTACTACCTACCTCCCTTTCAACTTGGTAGTCTACAATAGCCAACTCGGTGTTTGGCGATCGGTCCTGCAACTTTTTTACTGAAATGGCATTTCCTGCAGCAAAGTCTCCGCCCTCTCCTAGGAGCCAATCCTCTTTCTATGGTTTTTGAAATTTTTTGGATAACATGATTATATGATGTATGTGACAAAACCATTTTAAGGAAACGTCATGATATGGTATATCCAATGGAAAGCAAGTCATATTATTTAGTTATTTATTCAGCATATGTGTTCATATCACAAATAAACCCAAGTAATGATACAAACCAGTTAGGTTTTGTAATACAGAACAGATTAAGCTATATATCCTTTTGGTTATTGGTGAATGTTATATATATATTATTATATAGGAATGTGTCAGTTATTACAAACTTGTGTTGGTTTTCCGAGAACGACGATGTTTTCACAGCTGTAGTCAATCACCATTGTCCAGAAGTCATCGATGGTGTCCACAAGAGGAAACTGGGTCATCAAATACCCCGACATCGAAGTGTGTGACTGCAAAAAGGGAATGATTGATGTCATCATAAAGCACACGAGAAATGAAGAAAGCTAGGGGTTAAACATCTTGCAACTGCCAGGATCATATGGCCTGGTGTCTTAGGAGGCAACGCAGGGTAAAACAATGAATTAAATAGAGAAAGAAAGTAGTCAGAAACATTTGTAAACGAAAACGATCCCAAGTGTTGCAAAGGGGGCAGCACATCAGTTTTGGTCTCTTCCATATCCTATTAGTAGAAGACTCTGAAGAAATCTTATAATTTGTAAGGCCCCCACATTAGACGCTATTACGATACCCATGCAGTGGGATATACTAGGTCTCATTTTGGTTTCTTCTATGTCCCCTTTAAAGAAAAGACAAGAAAGAATCCAACCCAGTTATTCAAAGAGAAACCGCAATCCTCGTCTCTTACAATCTAGCAGTGACATACAGCAGGCAACTTATTTTAACCTTTTAAGATTGAGGTATTTGCATTTGGAGATACGTATCTCTGTTGTGTATCATAAGTTCTTGAATATATCAAA